AGCATTGCTCTCTTCAGACACCCCTCCTCTGCATCCCCCCCCCCTTATCCTGTTTCTCTAGCAGGGTTCTGTTAGGCATGAGACAGCTGCAGACGAGTGCTTTTAAACATCTGAAAACAAGATTATCTAGTCAATTTCAAGTATTGATGGGCATCTCAAAGCTGATTCTGCTGTTATGTCTTGGTCTTCTCAAGCCACAGAAAGTGTTTTCTTGGGTTTGGAAAGTCTGTTGGTTCTTCAGTTGCAGCGACACTCTGTTCTAATGGAAACTGTTTCCCTGAGTGGGCGAGGCCGTCTATTCTTCCCCATCTGGTGGCAGGCTAATGGTTGGAGAGATAATAAACAAGCTGAAGGAAGCAATCCAACTCCATATTAACAGGGTGACGAGATTAACAAATCCAGAGGGAGTTTAATTTATTTAACTTATTAACCTATTTGATTATTTTGCTATATTGCTAACCAGAATGTCACTTATAATGCCTTTAACGCCTGAAACTCTGCAGTGGGGTACTTGTCAGACAACTTAACTAAACTGAAACAGATTGGTTGACATCTTGCAATGCCAAGATTATTTGTGTTACAATACGATACGATACGATACGATACGATACGATACGATACGATACGATACGATACGATACGATACGATATGATACACTTTACTGTCCTATTGGGGAAATTTGTCTCAAAGAGCTTCCAAACATTCAGCTGCTTCCACTAGAATCAATAAATAAAATCAATAGAAAAACACATCCAACATTTACAGAAAGGCACGTACCAATACAGAACAACCCAACAAATATTGCATAAGATCTGCATAAACACAGCTTGAAACACAAGATAACAAAGGTAAGAAAATATAAAAACATAGGGACAACATGACGCCGTTGCCCAACCTTCACAGCCTTACGAGACATTATTAAGAATTTAGATTGTTGTGGGAACAAAATAGTTTTTATAGGGGTTCAGTTTACATTGGGGGACTCTGTATCGTCTGCCAGAAGGTCAGGTCGTCTGCCGCTCCGTCCCTTTTGCATATGTCCTCCAAATGACGTCACCAGGGCGATATATTAGTGCCAGTCATGAGGGTAATTTAGCTTCAATTTTGTACAGCCAAAGGAGATGGAGACTTGCTGTCCATATTCATACACAGTCAATGGTTTACACAACTGTTCTTCCCCCTTTTCAAAACTAACCATTTAAAGGAATCTAATCTTAACTAATCAAATCTTAAGGCTACCCAATAAAACAAATAACTGAACTTAATTTGTGTCTTTTTTTTATCCCACAATGCAAGTAAAATTAAACCGTCTCAGCTCAAATCAATTTGTCTGTTTTTCATCCAGTATAATCGTTTTAAATTCATTTTCAATTTCATGGATCCGTTTAGACAACCTTAAAAAAAAAAAGAGCAGAGTCAGTTTAACCCTGGATGACTCCACAGCTCTCCTCATATTGTTGGTCTCTGGTATGGGTCTGTTTTCCCAGACATTCAGATTCTGCAGCGTGCACATGCCTCTGGGTGTCTATCTGTCCTGTCTGCAGCAGGAGGCTTGTTGTCATTGCAAATGCTCACACCATGCATTATGCATATGAAGTGTGTCTCCGGTGGTTATAGAAAACCCTGCGTCATTCTGACAGATTCCAAAATTAAAACCCAAATCTTGTGTTCTTAAATAAGGAGTCGTAAGTTGGCCGAAAACATCCAAGGGGGAGTGACGATGCCAAAGCGGCTACTCGCCTTCACAGCGTGGCGTGATGGAGATCGCTGGCTATTGTCTCAGTCTCTGCTGGGCCAAAATGATATGGTCACTCTGATCAATAGTCTCTGTTACACATGATGTATTTCCCAGGGCTCCGGCTGTCTGCTTTACTCCATCTGTCCCCGGCTGTCGCAAATTTCTGCAGTCCCTTCCTGCCACACACACACAAACACACACACACACACACACACACACACACACACACTCTCTCTCTCTCTCTCTCTCTCTCTCTCTCTCTCTCTCTCTTCATGCCTGTTTATTTGAAGCTGCATGGGTTCCCATGAGAAAAGTGAACATTTAGGCACAAAACAAGGCTGCTGATACCTTTGAACTTCTCCCAGGAAAAATGTTTTTATTTTTTTACATCAGCTAGGATGATTGCATAATGACTTCATGCAATGACCCCTCTGCAGAAAAAATATATACACACACGCACACACACACACAGCAGTGTTTTCTAAAGAGAATAATAATCATTTTAAAAAAGAAGTATTTTCTCGCAGTGTCGGCGAGTTTTTGAACCGGTCAGCCGAAGCGGATCAGAAAAAAAACAGAGGGCAGAAATGATGCTTATCAGTGTGTCGCTGCTATAACTAATCTCAGAGACCATCCACTTATTAATTGTTTATCGCTGATGGACCATGAAATGAACAATTAGATGGGAACATCAATACATTTCACACTTTGATGCTGATGTTGTGGAATACCTCGTGAAGTGGATCCTAACACAGACAGCAGCGCCATTATGCAAACCATACAAGTACCGTTTTATCTTGTTTTCCTGTGGTTGTTTTTTTTTCATGGTTTTGCATTTCCTTCACATACTTGTTGTTCATGGATTAATCAACATATGAGCTGTTGTTTTGTGAAAAATGCATTTGAACAATTTTCTTTTTTTTTAGAAATTGATGCAAATATGGACAATTTTAATTGATGAGACAAAATAATAGATTGCAATACTCTTTCTAACCAGCAGAGGGTGCTGTCTTATTTTGGTTTCTGATGTTTGACAGGGGGTTTTGACAGGGTGAAGAAACAACGTGATAGAAAAGACAGAAACGGGTTTCTAAGGGATGTCAGATAGCCTGCCGGTTATGTCGCAGGTCCCATGTACAGAGGCTATAGTCCTCGTCACAGTGGCCACGGGTTCAAATCCAGCCTCGGAAGGCCCAAATTATAACTTTGGGAAAGAAAAAAAAAAATTGCGCAAATTGCTAGAGACTGATGTACGACGGGAATAGCACCGATGGATGCATGACGCAGCACGTAAAATCTACACCACTTGAGAAGATCAAGATTCCAATAGCACATTAATAACATCCGCTTGGAAAGGATTTCAAACCCCAATAGACAAAACGAGTGCAAGAGCCACAACTATTTTAGTTCCTAGAACCCCGTTTAGAGGAACCTTTTTAGCTCCTCCTTCAGAGTAGGTACTATGGCGGTGTAAATGCCGACTGAATATATAGTCACCATGGTGTGTAGTTCTTAGGGACCTCCCTATAGTGGATAGTTCCTCTTCAAAAAGTCCTCAGAACTGATTGGTCTGAAAACACCTAATGATGGATGCAGGAAAGGATTTCTTGTTTTTATCCTGAACAAATGCCCTCAAGTGTTAGAAGGTACAAAATGTGCTGGGTTTGCCGATTAAATGTTTGTAAAGGTGTGACTCAGGGATCACTTGATACCATAAATATGAGTCATAATCTTCTTCTTGTGTCAGACTGGGCCTTCTATTGTTTATGTTTTCTATTAAACAAACCTTTGAGTTATCATTTAGCGTCTTAATCACTCCATGCTCTCTATATTTCTCCGCATCATTTAGTAGAATTATTGATTACTGTCTGGTCCTCTGTGACACAAGTCGACAGGAAGCTGCATTGACCTACGTAAAGAGCTGTTTGTTAAAGCATCAATCATCCATAAGTACGGTAAACAGAGAAACAGACGATGTCAGGAGAGTCTTCTTCTTAGAGTCTTCTTTGAGCAGTTAACTCATTTTTCGGACTTTTTACGGATGCTGCTTGTGGAAAATGCTGCTGTTGAATCTCTGCTGTAAGCGCCTGGTAAACTGTTAAATAATCTGCGCCAGTCATTTCTTGAAAGTGTGAAATATCACAGTTTGATAGCAGGTACAATAATGAGACATCAAGCATTTGCTGAGGATAGACTTTTTTTTTTAGCAGCTGAGAGATTAAGAAGGATAAATACTGTCCGTCTGGTGTACAAAAAGAGTGTTTGGTGTTCACCAGGGCGGCTGTGGCTCAGCGGTGGAGTCGGTCATCTCTCAGACAGAAGGTCGGGGGTTTGATCCCCAGCTCCTGCAGCTACATATCCGATGTGTCCTTAGGCAAGACACTTAACCCCAAGTTGCTCCCGCTGCTTCGTCAGCGGCGTATAAAATGTGTGGATTAGTAAATACTGATGGTCACTTTACACAGCAGCCTCTACCATCAGTGTGTGAATGTGAAGGTGTGACCTGCGGTGTAAAAGTGATTTGAGGAGTCAGAAGACTAGAAAAGCGCTTTGCAAGCTCAAGTCCATTTAGCATTTACACTCAATGTTAGAGGTGGGAAAAAAGTAGATTTATTGTAAAAACCGAGATTCTTCTCTTCTAAGATTTAAAATCGATTTTTTTTTTTTAATCTCTAAAAAAAAAAAGATTTGATTTTGGATAATGTGTCGCTCCCTGCTAAGTGCTAATGCTAGCTCTTTAACTCAGTAGAATGCCAAATAGCGCAACAAGAAGTTCAGCCAGTCTCACAGATGACTGGAGTAGATCCTGAAGTATGGACTCATACAAAAATAGATTTTGAATCAATGGATCAATGAATCCAGAATCGTTGTTCATTCGATTCTTAATCGAATTGTGACCCAAAGAATCAAAATCGAATCGAATGGTGAGACACCCAAAGATTCCCGGCCCTATACTCAATATACCCGATACAGACATGAGACTCAGATTCAGAATTCAGTTTTATTGCCAAGTATATTTACCCATACAAGGAATTTGACTTGGTGTATTGGTGCTAAACAATTAACAAGGAAATAAAGCAGAACTAGCAACAACTTAAATAAAACAGCATAAGAAGATATTACAATATATAAAATATAATTAAAAAATGTAAAATATAAAAAATAAAAAACACAAATGTCCAGCACCTTAGCATAAAGCAGCTAAACTTCTGAGTATATGGAATCAGAGTGAACTAACCCTGTGTTTGTGTTTGTTTGCAGGTCTGTATGGTGTCAGGAGCATTGAGCTGTGACAGAAACAGCTCACCACAAGAGCGTCTGAGCTCAGCAGGGAGAACCTCCATATCTACATCCAGGTCAACCTCAGACGTCATGTGGATCAGATGCCTGCTCTTCGTCTCCACCCTGTTTGCTCCCATAGCATTAGGTAAGTGTTGAGACGACCACTGTGCAGCTTTAAGACGAACACCGTGCAGAAATAATCACACACATACATCTGTTTTTATTTTTATTTTTATGCTTTATCACACAAGATAAATGTTCCAGGCAAACTCAATCAAGCACCTAAACATATGGAAATACATTTTTACAATCAAACTCCAAAGTTGGATGACATAAATGAAGCAGATGTGGAAACAAGAATGAAGACATCGGGTATTAAATGACTACATATTGAGATATAACTGTCCGTAATGTGGGTCAATAAATCGATTCAGTGATCGAGTCATTATCATCAATGTGAAGCAAAAAACACACAGATCCATATCATCTCGTTTAGGATTCTTTGATTTTAAAATTCTCAAACACATTTGTGTCACTCTCTACCTCCACGTGCTGCGAGTCGATCAAAGCAGCTAAGAAAAAGCCCAATAACGTCAGTCGGTTGTGTGTGTCATGGGCGGCGTTGTCATGGCAACCGCCATGAAAGACACGGGGCGTTACAAACCTAAAATGATTGATTTCTGTTGAGGTAATGTAACAACAAAAATATATATAACACAGGTTAAGTCATTTTTTTAAATTAATTTAGATATTTTAGTGTAATTAAATTCTACATACTCACACCTTCAATCCCGATACATAACATGCTAAAATACTCCCTCCCTCACATAGGAGCTGCACAGGGTTCACCCCAATTTGACTAGAAGGTAAACCTCATGGTTTAAAAAAATCACACATTCAAATGTTAAACTGAATGATGGATAAATTCCATTTAGCTGCTTCAGTTAGAGAGCTTCAGCACTGTACATGTTGGCTCACTGTCACACTGTCAGAGCTCACTTTCTTTTTCATATGAAACATTCCTCTCTTTAAAAAATGGCAGGCCTGGGTCCACTTGGAAAGAAATGTTATTCACTGTGATATACTTTATTTCACTCTTGTGACTGTACATACCTCCTCTGCAGTGCATATTTATTGCATATAACATAACACTTTTTCACTCTCCTGTGTTCCCTCGAACACACATATATCCCCTGCGCACACACACACACACACACACACACACACACACACACACACACACACACACACACACACACACACACACACACACACACGCTGCAGATGCATCCCCAGCAGGTTGTCTCTATGTTTCCTCCTCTCCCCTGTGACGGTGGGCTTTGAAGACTCCTACAGGGAGCTCTGGCCCACTTGGACTTAATCCTATTAATGGCTGCTTTCAATCACACTGTTGTGAAGAAAAAACTGCCACACATGTGCAAACACAAAGAACACACACACACACACACACACACACACACACACACACACACAGAGTCAAGCATGTTCTTCTTCATGGGGCTAACATGTGCTCAGATGAAATACGGTACAACAACACAGATGAAACAGAGGTAGTGCTCTCACAGGCAGCAACCGAGACGCGCTAAAAACCAAAAGGGGCTTTGCTCCAACGCAGAGAGAGATGATTTTCAGTCAAGGTATTTGCATCAATGTCAAAGGAATAAGTCGACATATGCAAATCATGCTGTTTATACTTAGCCAGGATTAGGTGAAACAAAGACAGTTTAGCTTGAGGACACACACCAGCGAGCACTCCGTCTTTCCCCTCCGAGCCGTGCCTTGTCATTATTTCGGGGTTATGTGAAGACAAATAAAAGGGAAAAGGAAAGCATGGATCTTTGAACACTCTTCTTCTGCAGTTGAGAGTGCATACTGTATCGGGCAGAAACAGGGTTTAACCTCGTAAGGTGTCCTTGTTGATCGTGCTCGTGTTAGAAAATGCTACAACTGCACAAAAGTTAGCGTCACTCCTCAAAGAGCCTCTTTGGTAAATATATGGACAGTCTACTGTACACAGTGTTAAAGGTGATGCTGTTTGTTCTCTGCAAACAAATATCACAAAGAGACGACAAACGAAACAAAAATATTTGCCCCCTTCTCAGAACTTTCCGTCCCTGTCCTTGGAAAAAAAACATCCACCGTTGGGATATATTTCTACTAAAACAAACACACTTTTAATAGCAGGCTCAGTATCCTTCCTTTTAAAGGCAGCGGTCTCGTTTTAAGCAAATGTTATCGCAACAGGAATAAACACTGTGTTCCTGTGAGACCATTTTAAACTGTGGAATGATACTTTTCAAAATAAGTGCAATGCTCAACCGACGCCTGGACGCCAAACCGTCACCATCGGACTGTGTCTCCCCCACAACCACCGCCATCCTCAATAATTCACGGCCTGCTCCCGACCTCTGTGTGGACAACAGGAACACGAGGACTACAAAGGAGAAATCCTTCCTGCATATTATCCCACATGCTCTTTTGTTTTTAAAGATTTATTTTTAATGGAGAGATAGGACAGAGTGGATAGAGTCAGAAATCAGGGAGAGAGAGAGAGTGGGGAATGACATGCGGGAAAGAAGCCACAGGTTGGATTTGAACCTGGGCCGCCCGCTTGGAGGACCAAAGCCCCCATACATGGGGCGCGCGCACTAACCACTGTGCCACCAGCGCCCCATTGAGATAACATTTAATATGAATTGGCGTGATATAAATACTTATTGATTGAGTGAATGCTCAGGCCATCATTCTTTTTTTCTGTGTGCACATTTTTATTTTTAAAGATTTTTTTGGGCATTTTACGCCTTTAATCGAGAGATAGGACAGTGAATAGAGTCAGAAATCAAGGAGAGAGAGAGGGGCGGGGGAGGCATGCGGGAAAGGAGCCACAAGTTGGATTCGAGCTTGGACCGCCCGCTTGGAGGTCCTTACATGGGGTGGCTCACTTGTGAGTTTTAAATTGTTTTTTTTGTCAATGACAGAAATATTTCCCAAAGCTCCTGAATAGAAAAATCCATTATTGACTTTGAAGTCAGAAACCTTTTTCAGGCACGTTTTTATGTCTCTCAGTTGCCCAAGGGACGATTGAAAGACGGGTCCCAAGGGACGAGGGTCCCTGACCACAACTTCACCCTAATAAAAGAAAAGCCCAGAATGCACTGCGCCGATACTTCTCCTGATCATTTATCAAGCTATAGCTCCTGTACCGCCAACACGGCATATGTTGTTTGGAAAAAGCGATATCAGGCGCTGTGTGCACTGGCAATCCATGTTAGTAGGATCAGTTTAGTCTTGTTTCTTTCACAAGATTTATTGACAGTCAGAAAAATAGAACTGTGTCAGCCTTTTCTCCTTAAAACATCCTTTGCCCTTTTGAAAACTCTGCTCGTTTCTCGCTTCAACTCAGACGACCCACATTTGAGAGACACCAGCAGTGGCCAAACGCTTTGGCAGTTCAAGTGAGAGATCACTTTTTAAATCTCTCTCTCCTCTTCCCATCTCGCCCTCTCCTTCTTCCTTCTCCTTCTTCTTTTACGTCCGTCCACCTCTTTTGCCACTCTCTTGTTCTTGGCCCAAATGTAAAAATCAATATCCTTTTGTTTCTGCCCCCCCTGAGGCAATGAGAGTGTCTGAATAAGATTGTCTCTACTGTCCAGGGCTGCCAAGATTCTGTCACCACTTACACAACTAACGACGGACACATTAACATGCACGTGCCAGCGCCGACAGGATTGCATGTGTGCTAAATATTAGTGTGTGCTGTATGTGCTTACTCATGTGGCTGCACATCAGGGTTCATTTTGGGAGCTATTTTAAATTAAATCTTAAGTCTTTAGACAACAAACGCTTATTAAGTTCCGTCACATTGTAGTTATTTCTACTCTTTGTAGTTTAAGTTAAAGTTTAGAGGCCGGCAACTCAAACCGTCGTAGTCCAGTTTGAGTCAATAAGAAGTCATTTTTTATTTTAGTCATTACTTTTAGCCAAAGCGTCGTCCTGCTCTCCGACTGGCAGACTCACACACACACACCTCTCCTCTCCCCTTCTTGTAGTTTGATGGAGAGATTAGAAGCACAGTGGGGGGGGAAATATGGATTTTGAAGGTCCAATAGACCACCGCTAACATTTTGGCCCATTTCATCTCGGTAAAACAAAATCAAACTTTTCTGCTGTCAGAGTTTTTATCATCAAAGATCAGCTCTTTTTTGCGTCTCAACATTTTTATTATTTATTTATTTATTAGTCAATTTATTGAACACGTTAAGAAAATACAAGCACAAAATAAAAAGGAAAAAAACAAACTGGATCCTCAGGGTCCATAGCAACAAATAAATAACTCAAATAATATAGTTCATGTTCAAAAGGGATAGGACGAATATTGATGTTGATTTCGGTCCAGTTTCATCTCGGTAAAGAAAATGAAACTTTTCAGAGTTTTTATCATCAATGATCCAGTTTTTTTTGCGTCTCAACATCTCGTCTTTGTCGAGGACAAACGGCCGTTGATGAACATTTACCGTCATTTATGTTGCTAACAAAATGAACACTGCAGCACGCGCTTCTTTGCAAAGAGTGAGTGAATAATGTGCAGAGGACGTTGCTTGGAGGCAGGTTAAACACAGTGACGTTTTATAGCAGGTGAGCAGGCAGCTGATACACATGAATCATAGGGTAACAGACAAGACGGGTCAGTGTGTGAGAGAACGGCATTTATTGCGTCTTCTGAAGGCAGAGTGGCTTTTAATTGGAACACAGATAGACCCCTTATTTGAATTATGTGTGTGTGTGTGTGTGTGTGTGTGTGTGTTATAATGCTCCCTTTATGCCTAACAGGGACCCTGCAAGGCCACACTGTAAGACATCTGATCCAAAGCCAGTCTAGACAGCTGCCTTACAATACTGCGTATTGATCCCCGCACGCTTCAATTAACCCTCTCCTCACATTTTACATTCATGGTCACGGAGGCGTACATGACGCAGCCATTGAAAAACTAATAAACTATAACACTCTTATTAACACAGTAACGACCCACTGCCCTAAGCACTCCCCCCTCTCTCTCTCTCTCTCTCTCTCTCTCTCTCTCTCGCTCTCTCTCACACGCGAAAACACATGACGTCCTGCAGACACTGCTGAGACACACACCCAATCTGAATGTGTGCTTAAGGTCTCATCGTAGCCTGGGGTGCTATATGTGTGTGTGTGTGTGTGTGTGTGTTCATTAGAGGGAACATTTTCAGTAAATGTCATGTATATATCAGTCTTATCTCTAAGCTAGTGCCTGCATTTATCATTGTAGTGCCCTCAGGTAACACCGCCCAGATAGTGGCTACACTTGCTTTGAATCTCTGCCTTTTTACGTGTAATCACTCGGAATATTTGTGTGTGTGTGTGTGTGTGTGTGTGTGTGTGTGCGTGCGTGTGTGTGTGTGTGTGTGTGTGTGTGTGTGTGTGTGTGTGTGAAGGGCAGTATTAAGTAGAGCCCAGGCAGAGTGTCATTGAGCTCATTCAGATTCTCCGCTGCATTCGTGTAACCATGACGCTCCCCCAGCCAATGAGAGAGCCGAGGGAGGGAGGGAGGACAGGGTTGCTATGGTTATCCTGACAAGGAGAGCGAGGAAGGTGGTGCTGTGCCTTTTGCTTTTTTTGGGGGGGGGATGTTGTGGTTCTGTGTTTGATACTGGGTGTAATCTTCGGGTTCTTCTGTTTGTTTGTGTTTGTATGCACGCGTGATGTGTGTGTGTGTGTGTGTGTGTGTGTGTGTGTGTGTGTGTGCATGTGATTTAAAAAATTATTTGGAAGGCCATGACTGGAATTATTCCTCAATAAAATGGAAGTGTTATAGAGTCAGTCACCGGGCATGAAGCCACCACAAACTACAGTCACTATCAGATTGAATATGTTTTATTAGTTTATTCAACAGAGACAATGCACATCATATATACTGCACCAGATGTAGCTTAAAGAGAAGAGCTAATAAAAATCTAGCAGGAGTAGCCGCTGACACGCAGCGTGACGCTGTGTGGAATAAAATGTTCTTTACAATGACAGTGGCGCTAGGAGAAAACAAAAACAAGAGCAACACAAGTGAACACCTCAGCTGATAACCTATCCGTCAAGGGATGAAGACTGAAGCACCCGGGGATCGCTGCCCTCGACAACACAGAATAACAACATCCAAGCTGCACCACAACAACATGAAAATCCCAGGGAGCATCCAGCCCCACACTCAATATCACAAACGCCCTCTGTAATCAAAAGACTTTATAGGAAAAAAAGGACATATATGATGAGAGGCACATGTGTGTCATACCCTTTCATTATGTTGAAAATGGTTTGCCATACTTTGGACGGCGTGGGCTGCGACTGTACAGGCAACAATTGTTTACCTGCCGTTTGGTTTTTGGCAGATTTATAGAATTTATTATCAAGTAGGTAGGAAGAGAAAACTCGTTTTGTTTTTTTCCGACACATTGATTTTCTTCAGTTTCAAAAACAATAAATGACCTGGAAAGTAAATTGACCTTTCCTTGGTTGATTCGCTACCAATTTTCGTCCAATTGCTAGTGCTTCAAAAACAACACATGCACACGCATTGTCGACGGATTTCCGCGTGGAAAATGCTCTTCTTAGCGATGGTGCTCTGTTGTAAGTTTAATACATGCAGTTGTAACCCTGTCTGTCAAAAATAATATGTAAAGAGACTAGGGATGCAACAATTCTCAATGTAATTTTAAACCGTTCAGTACGGCATCCATGGTCCAATACCCACTTGGAAATTGTGGTATTTTAGCTGTGGCTTACAACTATATAGATAGATAGATAGATAGATAGATAGATAGATAGATAGATAGATAGATAGATAGATAGATAGATACTTTATTGATCCTGGGGGAAATTCAAAGCATCCAAGACGTACATGACATGAAACATTTGTTACAATTTAAACCGCAAAACCGACGCCCCCCCTCCCATACATATATATTAACCTAAAAAAGATTGAAAGAATACCCCTAGATGACTTAATCAAACTTAAACTGTGCAATTAAAAATAGACTTATACAAGAAATGTAAGTAACCCGTTCAGGGATAAAAATATATGTGTAATTTAAAGCAAGAACCTATAAACTATAAAGTAGCCACCCTGCATTGTATTTCTCAATGAATTCTGCATAAATTCCCAAGAATGGAATACCAAAAACACCCCGCTCCAAACCAACAGCCCGGACTTTCAGAATTTAAACCGAACCTAAAACCCTGACCAAAAAAACCCCAGAGGTGCATATTGGGCCGTCAGCTTACTGAATTTTTGATTCCCAAGAAGATACTTATGATTTAGAAGTCAAAGCCTTGTCTCTTAAAACAACAGAGGAACATATCGCAGCTTGTGAATGCCTTGTTAGGGTTGTCACGGACACATCTGACTTGTCTGCAGAAGCTGGTGATGGAACCCTCGACCTTCCGGTTGAGAGACGACCGACTCTTCCAACTGAGCCACATTAATATACCGTCCACATGAGATAACCGGCTGTAGTCCTGATAAACTATTCTCACAGCATGCATTAACGTTATATCAGAAAAAAGCACAGATGTCAGTAATAACTTTAAAAGAATAACTGTGTTGATTTCTGGGTTTGGTATTCAGCAGCATTGTTTACTGGATGGAACTGAACCACCCTTAACAACAACTGTGTCCTTGTTTCCACTTTCTTTTGATATGACAAACAAATTAGTCTGAAGTATGATGACAGGTCTGCTGCTTGAAGCTAGAGACATCCCAGAAGTAGAGCTAAAAGCCTCACATCCCTGCATCCCCCTGCCTTGTCTGCTACTTCCTTCTCTTCCTCTTTTGAAGATTGCCCTACAGTCCATACCATTACCAGACGTTGACCTTATGGGATAACAAGACTTATTGAGACAAAAGCAGACTTGATCGCTGTTGGGTCTTGCAGATGTTTCATCATCCACGAGGTTTTCATCTTATTAGAATTAATGACATGTTTCCCATCTCGGTACAATGAGAGTGGATGTATGCATCAAATTTGCAACTTCCCTGCATAATTAGGCATCGCCATCTTTTAATAATCTTGCAGCACTAAATGCTTGTTGAAGTTGCCAGGCAATTACTTTCTATCTAGAATGATGTCTGCAACGACTCGCTGCAAAACAGTAATTACCAAGCGAGTTCACTTGCAACAGTGGACATGCCCTTATGAAAAAATATTCTGTGACGCTTTTGTTTTCTAATAGTGTGGATAATTAGTCTGTTTGACAAGGGTACAAATGCCTTTTTGAGTTGAACACAATTAGAGCCGCCATTGCACTTACATCAAGACGGTCTATAACATTGTCTGATAGCGGAGTTAAAAAAAAGGAGCGCAGTATATTAAGCGTTGTTTTTCTTACCAGTGTTTGTGCTTTTGTGTCCAGTCTCCGGCCGTGCCCCCATCCCCATGGCGGTGGTGCGCAGGGAGCTGTCCTGTGAGTCCTACCCGATTGAGCTGCGCTGCCCGGGAACCGATGTCATCATGATAGAGAGCGCCAACTACGGCCGCACCGACGACAAGATCTGCGACTCGGACCCCGCCCAGATGGAGAACACGCGGTGCTACCTTCCCGACGCCTACAAGATCATGTCACTCAGGTCAGTACACGGATATGTGTTGTTCTGCAGGCTGTAAAAAACCCCACAAAAAACAGTGATGCCATGTGTCTGATAAGTCTTACTCCAAGTGTCTCCTTTTGAAAGAACTGTGGAACCACGGTGAAGAAATTCACAAGGTCGACTCGGTGCTGAGCTTTAGCTAAGGCAGCAACATTTGGAATTATCTCATTTTTTTTTGAGTGAACTGAAAGGCATTCTTCAGACTCAGAAATCCCAGTTACAGTAGGTGTGTAGTCTCTCCTTTAGTCTTCTTCATGGTGAAATCTCAATGCCAAGTTCTCCATCCTTCACACGATGACCCACTTTCATAACTTTGACAGAAATAAAGCAGCAAAGACACACCATTATACTGCAACATACCTGGCTGATGCAGTGACATGATGTGAAAAACTAGTCTCATATGTGAGGCCGACCCTGCTGTTATCAGATCTGTCTAGATTTATATGTAATACTGTGCTACACAATTACTTTTATTAGACAATGGAAAATACACTCGAGTAACAATCCCTCTACAGCTGGCCGGTGGGATCGGGCTTCCTCTCCTGGCAGTGCCAATAAGAGCACAGCAACTAAATCTACAAAGGATGATTGTTGTTTTTTTAATCTAAAGGCAGGGTTGGTCATTCTCTTCAGATCCACTTTTTAAAATTTTGGTTGTAAATTGTCTTTAGGTCCTGACAGAAATTAATAACTCATGTTCTCTGAAAAAGGAACAAAGAAAATCCGTCATCTGTATCAGTTTGTAAGTCTGTAAAAACTTCAACCAATGTCTGCCACGAGGTACCAATCTGATGAACCAATCAGACGCCTCCCTGTCGACGGCTCGTTCTCTACCCCTTGCGTGCTCTATCCCACACTCAAAGCGCGTCACCGATGACAGAGTTTGTACTGTGAGGTAGTCATTGGCTGTTGTGAGTAGTAAAATAGTCACTTTTTTTTTACATGTATTATGATAAAGTTTAGAGTTTACTTACCGCTGAGACATGAGACGACGTAGTTTCTTCACAATGCAAGCGATGAGCTGAGCTCCGCTTCTGGAGCAACGGCGCTCGTGCATGTAAGCGAGGGGGCGTGGCTTTTGAGGGAGCACAGAGGGGAGGAGGTGGGTGCAGACGGAGCACTGAAGGGAATGCTACTTTCAAAATCATGCTAGTTTTTAGAAAATTACCAAACCCTGCCTTTAAAGTAAAAGAAACCTGAGATGTTCACTTTAAGGGATCTGAGATGCGAAAATGGTCATTAACGGTGTTTTTCACACATGCACAAAACTGCCTGGAATTTTTAATTCTTATTTTTTTATTACATTTTCAGCGTGAGAACGCAGCCGGTAACACAAACTGATCAGTAACCGACCTGATCTTTGTGCACTCTTGAAGCTGCTTCACACTCTTTTTTCGCTCTCCAGTTTCCATTTACCACTCATACATTGATATTGTGAATACATCCAATTACATGTAGCATTGATATAAAGGCACAAAGTGTCGTCTCGACAGTCTCTGCCATTTCTGCATCGTCCTTTTTCCTGCCTCCAGTTGTACATCGAGAACATGAACATGAGATTTCAGGGGCGGCCTGTCCTGACATTTTCTGTGGACATTTCTGAAGGAGTGCACGTGTGTAAAAACATTACAGGCATGGATTTCACAAAACTAAGCTTGATGCTTGATAGATATGGTGACGCTTTAGAGCTTTGGTACAGTCAGTTAATTAGAGCTCGTTAGAACATGTTCCTGTGATTTTAGAGTTGTGTTGTGTACAGGCCTCGGTAATTGTAGTGTCCAATTTCAAGTAGAAGTTGTAACAGAAAGACGGAGCGCTGTTTAATTTACTGCTCGACTGTCAGAAGTGTTTTGTTCTCGGTGAACAATGTTAACACTCCCTCGGTTTATTTTTATTTTTTTTTGTCCTGGCTTGAGCGAGTAGTCTATATCTTGTTTATTTGTTGTTCATGTCTGTGGCTTTTTTTTTTTTTTAACACCACTGTTGAGTCTGTAATGGGCAGGTATGATAATAAGAACTTACTGAAAAATAATAGCAGAAACTAAAATAGCAAGCGGGGTGGGGGGTGGGGGGGGGGAGCTGTGTGTAATGAGAACGTCTGGATATAAATAATTCATTAAAGTCACCGTTAGTATCTCAGTTCTGTTCGGATCACGTGTTCCTCTGACTTTGAGCGCTCTTTCCTGCTGTCCCATTATTTCTCCTCTCATCTTTTTTTTATTTTTTTCACTGTCTAAATATTGCTTCCACCTCTCTCTCGTTCTCTCTCTCGCTCTCTCTCTCCTCCCTCCCCCTCTCTCTCTCTCTCTCTCTCTCTCTCTCTCTCTCTCTCTCTCTCTATCAAACCACCTGTCTGTGTCATGCGGCGGTGCTCTGATTGCGATTGCTTTGGCCTGGCTCGAGCGCTCCACTCCGCTCTGGCAGCTGCAGCTTGTGTGGCCACTCTCCTCCTACAGCCCTGGCCATCCATAATTTATACATACACACACACACACACACACACACACACACACACACAGAAAAACACAGCATGTGCCACACACAGCATCCACTGCCCAGGGGCTACACCAGACTTTAAGCTGCAATTAGCAGAGCCAGAGGCCAAACTTAATCTTAAGCGATCCTCTGTGGAGGTGACTCAGACTGGAAACAAATGTTTATCACATATATTATCTGTGTGTGTGTGAGTTACAAGAAGCCATAAGTGAGCCTCTGCGTGTGTCTGTGAGCCGTACTGTATTAATGCAGCTAGATACGCTTATGCAAACAGACTGTTGTGTTTTTTTTTTGAAGCACCAGCGTTACACCCAAATGCACACGGGGAATCTTCTTCGACTGTGTGCTCATGCTCATATCTAATGTGCGTGGTTTTGTTGCTCTAATGTGTGTTGAAGGCTGGATTGGCTTTTCTCTTTTGCACACTTCGCAGTGTGTGCTTTTGGCTCTCTCCCCAAACTCACACAGCCGCTGTCTTCAGTCTGTTTCAGCTCGTCTGGTTTCCACTCTGTCACTCCCTCTATGTCTGTATCCTCTCTGCTTTTCAGGCCCTGCTCGACCGGCTGATAAAATCAGAGCATGTTCCGCCTGCCCAGTGTTTCCTCAGTATCACATTCTGCCTTTGTTTTCCTCTATACCACTCTCCAAAGCCAAGGAATGTGTGTGTGTGTGTGTGCATGTGTGTGTGTGTGTGTGTGTATATGCATGTGCACGCCCACACCACATAATTGGTCTTGATATCAAAGCCTCATATCTCCAGAGGGTCTCACAAGGCTTCTCAGGCAACCCAGAGAGGACCTGATATCGCTGCATTTCCCAGATTATCTCCCCATTGGGACACGCTGGGTTGAAGGGGGGAAACAAAGCCGTGGCCATGAAAGTTACGCTTAATCTGTTTCAGCGATATCCTGGCCCCCAGTTCAATGACTCACTCCTCTTTATCGTGTTTTGAACTAAAATGCCTGTTTCCCCAAAATGGCTACCGAGCCGTCTTTGTTTGAAGGTCTGTTGTCGTTAACAAGGGGAAATGAGCACGTGTTTCTAATTTCAATTGTTTTATTTGGCTCATCCCACGAGCAAAAGTATTCTCCACTGCTCTCTGTTTCCCTGAAAATATCAGGATCACTGTCATTAGCCGTTCGCACCAGGGCCCGACCCATATGGGATTCGACATGGGTTTGATACCAGAAAAATCCCTTACCAATATATTGGCCGATCTCTTTTTCAATCCATCTTTGATCTGTAGAGATAAATAGAGATATAAATATGCACATTTATTGTGTTAATCTCTCAAATGCAGTTATCAATCACTTGTGAAGAAGATATAAAACAAAGACAAGATGGTCACTCAACTGGAAAATAACTGCATGTACATGAGTCACCGCTTGACACCTGTTGTAATCCATAAAGCGCCCTCTGCTGGTGAAGGAGAACTGCTAGTGTAATACAATCAAATTTAAATTAAATGCTATGTGACTGATGAATAAATCTGGTAATATTGCCGCATATGTGGGATAAAAGTAGCTGATATCGATAGTCACTTGATCAGCTAATATCGGACGATATTATTAATCCGTTGGGCTCTTTTGAAGCCCATCGATGGCGGTCGACATTTTGGAAAGGCAAAGAGGTGGAGCTGAGCCGGGCCGGACGCCTCCTGGCAAACAGCTTTTAACACATCCACCTGTCAGTCAGCCACACCTATAGTGACGCAAATATATGAATAACTCTCACGCTTAATAGATTCAAAATGACAACACGCACACACACAGCAGTGTACAGTCTTGCCAGTTTACTCAACATCTTCCCTTTATTCCATCTATGATACTACCTCAGACTGCAAATCAGGGTCGGAGCGACTTCACCCCCCCGCACTGCAGGCGAGGCGTTCCAGTGGCTAAATATCCTGCCTTGAATTGCCTACATGTTTTGTATTATTCAAACGCTGCTACAGCAAGGGTGTGGTCCTGTTGAGTGTGCCGTAAAGTGTCACCGGGGGAGACTTATATCAGGGGCAACAGAAGCATTTGGGAACTTTTGGGTAATTCAGTCCTGCAACAGAGGAGAGGAGCCTCAAGCCAAAATGGTGGAATGCCTGCGAGTTCGAGCGACCCATTGACATAAAAAAGTGACTTGATGGCTTCTACGGAGATGCTTCACAATGCACTCCTTGTCCCTCACTGATACTTGAGTGCTTCATGGATGGAGTACCTTTCAGCGCACTCTCTCCCTCGAAACCAGCACACATGCATTCAGGCACTTGAGGCTGCAAGTGTGGACACTGAAGAATGTGCAGACATCGCACACAAAGGCACACAAGCTCTGTTTTGCTCCCTGTGCAACAGCAACCGAGGAAGAAAATTACTTCTGGACTTCAAACAGACTTTCCCCCCTGACACCTCTATACCCCGCCTGTCCCACCTTGTCACCTTGTTTGCCCTTCCTCCTGTCTTCCCATCTATTGCTCTCCTCCTTCCTTCCTC